CCCCCTTAGCCCGCCTCAGCTTCCCTCAGGCTCTTCCCCAGAATCCCTCCCAGCACCCCCTCATCAGCTCCACCTTCCCCCCAGGTATTTCCCCATCCTCCCAGTATCCCCCCACCCTCACTCCCAGTATCCCCCATCCTCCTTCCCAGTATCCCCACATCTTCCTTCCCAGAATCCCCCACCCTCACTCCCAGTATCTCACTATCCTCACTCCCAATATCCCCCATCGTCCAGTATCCCCGCATCGTCCCTCCCAGTATCCCAATATCTCCCAGTATACCCCATCTTCACTCCCAGTATCCCCCCATCCTCCCTCCCAGTATCTCACTATCTTCACTCCCAGTATCCCCCATCCTCACTCCCAGCATCCTGCCATCCTCCCTCCAGTATCCCTCCACACTCACTCCCAGTATCCCTCCATTCTCACTCCCAGTATCTCACTATCCTCCCTCCCAGTATCCCCACATCCTCTTTCCCAGTATCCCCCACCCTCACTTCCAGTATCTCACTATCTTCACTTCCAGTATCCCAATATCCCCCAGTATCCCCCGTCTTTACTCCCAGTATCCCCCCACACTCACTGCCAGTATCCCCCATCCTCCCAATATCCCCCATCCTCCAGCATCCCCCAGCATCCCCCCAGCACCTTCCGAGCCCCCCTCCCAGCACCCCGCAGCACCCCCAGCCTTCCCTCCTCCTCCTCCTCCTCCTCCTCGTCTGTCCGGCTCGCAGGGAAGGCGCGGAGCTGGCCACGGGCGGGTCCCGCCGCGGCATCGCGGTGTCCACGCTGGCCGAGGCTCGCTTCTTCGCGGCCGGGGGCTTCGATGACATCCTGTACGCCTTCCCGGTGCCGCGCTGCCGCCTGGCCGAGTGCTCGGCGCTGGCCCAGCGCCTGCAGCGCTTCCAGGTGCTCGTGGACAGCCCCCAGGGGCTGGAGATGCTGCTCCAGAACCCGATTCCCGGCGGGAAGCGCTGGCTGGTCTGGCTCAAGCTGGACTGCGGGAATGGCCGGGGTAGGTGAGCCCCAAATCCCGGCTCGGGGTGCAGGGAGGGGACAGCGTGTGCTGTCCCCAGGGTGGGCTGTGGGGTGGGGTGCTCTGAGTGCCCCCAGATCCGGCATCTCAACGAGGATGGGGCATGGAAGCTCTAAAGGTCATTAATCAAGGATGTTCCTCAAGGAACGATGTCCAGTGCCCCTCCGAGGTCTCAGATCCTCCATCCCAACCATGATGGAGCATCTCAGCCCACCCAGAATCGTTATTTATTGGGAAGGAATCCCCATGTCCCTCCAAGTCCTCCAAATCCTCCTTCCCGACCACAATGAAGTATCTAACCCCCCCCAAATAATTATTTAAGGGTGCTTCATGGGAAGAAATTGCCATGTCCCTCCAAGAACTCCAAATCCTCCATGAAAACCATGATGGAGCATCTAAACACCCCCTGAAATAATTTTTTAAGGATGCTCGTTGGGAAGGAATCCCCACGTCCCTCTAAGACCCCAGATCCTCCATCCCAACCACCATGAAGCATCTAAAACCCCCAAAATTGTTCTTTAAGGGTGCTGCATGGGAAGGAATCCCCATGTCCCTCCAAGAACTCCAAATCCCCCGTGAAAACCATGATGGAGCATCTAAACCCCCCCCCTCCAAATCATTATTTAAGGATGGCCCACAGGGAGGGATCCCCATGTCTTGCATCTAAAACCCCCAAAATCATTATTTAAGGATGCTCCATAGGGAGGAATCCTCATGTCCCTCCAAGCCCCCAAATCCTCCTTCCCAACCACGATAGAGCATGTAAAACCCCAAAAATCATTATTTAAGGATGCTCCATAGGGAGGAATCCCCATGTCCCTCCAAGCCCCCCAAATCCTCCATCCCAACCACAACCTCAGTGCCTCCAAAGTCATTTTTCCCATCCACGCCTGGAAAATACGGCACAAGCGGCCCCAAAACCCCCCCACGGCACCTCCCAACCCCATTCCCACCGCTGTGGGGGGGCGATGTCCCTGTGTCCCCTCACCCATCCCCCGTGCCACCCCCGTGTCCCCTCCCCAGCCGGGATTCGTCCCACGGATCCCGAGGCGCTGTCCCTGGCTCGGGCCATCGCCCAGGGCTCCCCGGAGCTGGTGACACTGGTGGGGGTCTACGCCCACTGCGGGAACACCTACGGCTGTCGCGACATCCCGGCCATCCAGGCCATCGCCAGGGACACCACGGCCGCCGTGCTGGCATTCGTCACCGCGTGAGTGGCCGGGATGAGCGGGAGGGCGAGGATTTGGGGACAGGAAGGGTCAAGGCGGCCGCTGTCCCCTCCCCAAAGGCTGTAAATGCGAATCGCCCCCATAAAGGGGCCCTCAAAGCCCCCCCGGGGGGCACCGGGGGGTGGTGGCGGCGCCGCTGGCCTTTGATGTGGCTGTGACCTGGGGCATTGTCCCCTCCCTCCTCCCTGTCACCCTTTCATCCCGGCGGGGGTCCGCATCCTGCAGGGAATTGCGGCCGGATGGGTCCCGCTGGGAAGAGGGGGAGGGACCGCCACCCCCGCACCGCGCCGGGGACAGGGACGTGCCCACCTGGGGGACACGTCCTGGGGGTCACCGGCCCGCGGGCTGTGGGGGGAAACCCCGGATCCCGCCCCCTCCCCAAAATCTGGGGCCGGTCCCCAGCACATCTGGGGGTCCAGAAATATCTGGGAGGGGTCCCAGGCACCACTGGGGGTGCCCTGGCACATCTGGGGGGGCACATCTGGGAAGGGCGTGGCACAGCTGAGGGGACCCCGGGCACATCTGGTGGCACCCTCACACACCCTGGGGGGGTCTCCAGCACATCTGGGGGCTCCCAGAAACACCTGGGAGTGCTTTAGAATATCTGGGGGGTGTCCAGCTCATACAGATGGAGCTCTGGCACATCTGGGGATGGCTGGGCACATCTGGAGGGTGCTCTGCCACATCTGGGTGGGGGGCTGGATGGACACCCACCAGTTCTGAGTCTCTGAGGGGGCTCTCGGGCACATCTGGCTGGCACTGGGCACATCTGGCTGTGTCCCCAGCACATCTCGAGTGCTCCCTGGCACGCTGCGGGGAGGCTCTGCCACATCTGGATGGCTCCCTCGAGCGTTTGGGGGGCACATCTGGGGCACCCAGAGGCGCAGGAGCCACCTCTGCTCCTGTTCCCGGTGGTGCCCGCGGGTGCCAGACCCTGCTCCGGCCACCCGGGGGTGACATCCCCCCCGAGCGAGCCCCCCGTGTGTCCCCAGGCTGCGGCAGGCGGGGATCCCGTGTCCCCAGGCCACCATCGGCTCCACCCCGTCCTGCAGCCACCCGGTGCCGGAGATGTCGCAGCTCACCGAGGTGCACCCGGGCAATTACCTCTTCTACGGTGAGCAGGACGTGACCCCCCCGGCCTGCAGGGACCCCCCGAGGGTGGGGCACGGCCAGGCTGAGCCGCTGTCCCCCGCAGACCTGCAGCAGACGCAGCTGGGCTCGTGCCGGCCCGAGGAGGTGGCGATCCGCGTCCTCAGCAGGGTCGTGGGCCACTACCGGCACCGCGGGCAGCTGCTGCTGGACTGCGGCTGGGCCGCCCTGAGCCTGCACGGCCGCGACCAGGGACCCCCGGGCTGTGCGGCCATCGAGGGCCACCCCCAGCTCAGGTGACACCCGCGGGGCGGCGGGGGGGACGCGCGGGGACGGGAGGTGACAGCCGCGCCTCGTGTCCCCCGCAGGCTGGTGGGGCTGACCCAGGAGCACGGGCAGGTGGAGGCCGTGGATGGGCAGCTGGATTTCGAGCGGTTCCCGCTGGGAAGCACCTTGGCGCTCATCCCGTTCCACGTGAGTGGCGGCCCCGCCGTGTCCCCTCGGTGGCGGCCCGGTGTCACAGCTCGGTGTCGCCTCTGTCGCAGGCTTGTGCCACGGCCGCCATGCACCCCGTGTACTTCGTGCACGCTGCCGGCAAGGTGGTGGAGCTCTGGCGCCCCGTGCGCGGCTGGTAGAGAGGAGAGAGAGGAGAGAGAGGAGATTCGGGGGACCCTGCACCCACCACGGCACCTGGCACCCACCCTGGACCAAGGCTCTGCACCCGCTCCCAGTCACTCTGTGCACCCACGATGGACCTGCACCCACCACGGCACCTGGCACCCACCCTGGACCAAGGCTCTGCACCCACAGCGAGACCCTGCACCCACTCCCAGTCACTCTGTGCACCCACGATGGGGTCCCACAGCCCCAACAGGGTCCCCATATGGGATGCTGCGCCCACTCCCATCCTGCACCCATTCCCAAACCCTGCACCCACTCCCACACCCTGTATCCATTCCCACACCATGCACCCACTCCCACCCTGCACCCACTCCCACTCTGCCCCCATTCACACCCTGCACCCATTCCCACACCCTGCACCCATTCCCACCCTGCACCCACTCCCACCCTGCACCCACACCAGGGCTCAATAAAGCTGCTTCTCCCGCTTCCAGGCGCTTATTCCCCCGGGGAACAGCCGTGGGGAGGTGGCGGGAGGAGTGGGTGACGCCGTCCCCTCGGTGTCCTCCATCCCTGCTCGGACCGGACCGGTCCGAGTTGGACCCGTTCCGACGGGCGGGATTCGAACCCGGGACCCCCGGAGCTGCGAGGGGCAGGGCTCCACGCCTGGCCACGCCCTCCAAGCCGCGCGCAGCCAATGGGAGCGCGCCCCGCCCGGCCCTGCCCGGGGGAGCCACGCCCAGCCCGGCCCGGCCCAGGCGCGACGGGGCGGCCGAGAGGAGCCGAGCGGGGCCGAACGGAGCCGAACCGGGACCGAGCCGGGACCCGGAGGAGCTGAACGGAGCCGAACCGGGACCCAACGGGGCCGAGCGGAGCCGAGCCGGGACCCGGAGGAGCTGAACGGAGCAGAACCGGGACCCAGCGGGGACGAGCGGAGCCGAACCGGGACCCAGCGGAGTCAAGCGGAGCCGAAGCGGGACCCAGCGGAGCCGGACGGGACCGAACCGAGGCCGAGCGGTGCCGGACGGGACCGAAGCGGTTCGGAGCAGTTCGGCGGCGCTCGGCTCGGTTCGGCCCGGCCCGGAGCGGGGTCCCGGGCCGGTACCGGCGATGGGGCCGCTGCCGGTGCCGCTGCTGCTGCTGCTGCTGAGCCCGGTGCGGAACGGGAGCGGGAGCGGGAGCGGGATGGGACGGGCCGGGTCTCCCGCTGCCCCCGGGGCGCTCCGGGTCACTTCGCTCCGCGGCTTTTGTTGAAGTTTTTTGGGGTTGGGTTCGGTTCAGTTCGGGTCATTTCGGTTCAGTTCCTTTTATTTTATTTTATTCCGTTTTCCTCCATTTTTTATTCTTTATTTTCTTTTATTTTCCTGGTTTATTTTCTTTTTATATTCCTTCTTGTATTTTCCTGCTTTACTATTTTCCTTTATTTTCCTTTATTTTCTTTTTATTTTTTCCTTTTTTCCCTTTTTTCATTTTTTTCCTTTTTTCCTTTTTTCCCCTTTATTCTCCTTTATTTTCTTTTTCTTTTTTTCTTTTTTCCTTTTTTCCTTTTTTCCCCTTTATTCTCCTTTATTTTCTTTTTCTTTTTTTCCCCTTTTTTTCCTTTTTTCCTTTTCTTTTTCTTTTTTCCCTTTTTTCTTTTTTTTTCCTTTTTTCCCCCTTTATTTACCTTTATTTTCTTTTTTCCTTTTTTCCTTTTTTCCCTTTTTTCCTTTTTTTCCTTTTTTTCTTCTTTATTTTCCTTTTCTTTTTCCTTTATGTTTTCTTTTTTTCCCTTATTTCACTTTTTTTTCTTTTTCCTTTATTTTCCTTTTCTTTTTCCTTTATTTTTCCTTTTTTTCATTTTTTTTCTTTTTTTCCTTTATTTCACGTTCTTTTTCCTCTTTCCACTTTAATTCAGTTTTCCCCTTCCTTTCTCCTTTTATTTCCTCGATTTCTCTCCATTCCCTCCCATCTCAACGCCTTTTATCTCATTTTTATTCCCCATTTATTTCCTTCCCTTTTCCCTCTTTCCCTTCGATTCCCCTCTTTTCTTTTTCTCTCCCATTATTTCATTTCCTTTCTCCTCAATCCCCCCCTCCGAACCCCTTTTCCGCGGCCCGGGGGGGTCCCAGTGGGAATTCGCGGGTTCGGGGGAAACTGAGGCAGGACCCGCTGTGCCCGCAGGTGCCGGGGCGGGCCGGGGGGTGCCCCCCGTGTCCCCGCGGGGTCCCCGAGCCCTGCGACAGCCGCTGCCCACCCTGCGCCCGCAGTGAGTACCCAAACCACCCCGAAACGCCCCCAAAAACAACCCCAAAAACCCCAAAACCGCCCCAACCCCGCAGCGCGGAGCCCCGCGGAGGAGGAGCCGGAGGAGCCGTGCCCGCCCTGCCCGCCCTGCAGCCGTGAGTGGCACCGGGACCCGGGGGCTGGGCCAGGGGGCCCTTTGTGCCTCAGTTTCCCTTTCTGCCTCAGTTTCCCCATCTTGCTCCCTAATTTCACCTTTTGTGCCTCAGTTTCCCCAAACTGCTCCTTAATTTCACCCTTTCGTGCCTCAGTTTCCCTTTTGTGCCTCAGTTTCCCCAAATTGTCCCTTAATTTCCCCTTCTTGTGCCTCAGTTTCCCCATGTTGCTCCCTAATTTCACCTTCTGGTGCCTCAGTTTCCCTTTTGTGCCTCACTTTCCCCATCTTGCTCCCTAATTTCACTTTTTTGTGCCTCTGTTTCCCTTTTGTGCCTCAATTCCCCCTTGTTGCGCCTCAGTTTCTCCCTCTGTGCCTTGCTTTCCCCAAGTTGTTCCTTAATTTCCCCTCCTATTGCCTCAGTTTCCCTATGTTGTTCCTCAAATTCCCCTTCTTGTGCCTCAGTTTCCCTTTTGCACCTCAGTTTCCCTATGTTGCTCCCTAATTTCCCCTTGTTGTGCCTCAGTTTCCCTTTTGCACCTCAGTTTCCCTGTTGCTCCCTAATTTCCTCTTGTTGTGCCTCAGTTTCCCTTTTGTGCCTCAGTTTCCCCAGTCGCCCCTCAGTTTCCCAATGTCCTCCTTTAGTTTCCTCCTGTCTCACCTCAGTTTCCCTTTTTTACCTCATTCCCCCTTTTTCTGCCTCAGCCCATTTTATCCCATTCCCTCTTGTGCGCCTCAGTTTCTCTTTTTGTCCCTCATTTCCCTTTTTGTGCCTCAGTTCCCCCCTTTTTTCCCCTCACCGTGCCTCAGTTTCCCCCTTTGCCCTCACCGTGCCTCAGTTTCCCTTTTTCACCTCATTCCCTTGTGCTTCAGTTTCCCCCATTTTATCCCATTCCCTCTTGTGCGCCTCAGTTTCTCTTTTTGTCCCTCATTTCCCTTTTTGTGCCTCAGTTTCCCTTTTCCCCTCATTCCCCTCACTGTGCCTGAGTTTCCCTTTCCCCCCTCACTGTGCCTCAGTTTCCCTTTCCCCCCTCACCGTGCCTCAGTTTCCCCCTTTGCCCTCACCGTGCCTCAGTTTCCCCCTCATTCCCCTCACTGTGCCTCAGTTTCCTCTTTTCCCCCTCACCGTGCCTCAGTTTCCCTCATTCCCCCCACCGCGCCTCCGTTTCCCTCCTTCCCCTCACCGTGCCTCAGTTTCCCCCTTTTTTCCCCCCCACCGTGCCTCAGTTTCCCTCATTCCCCTCACCGTGCCTCAGTTTCCCCCTTTTTTCCCCCCCACCGTGCCTCAGTTTCCCTCATTCCCCTCACCGTGCCTCAGTTTCCCTTTCCCCCCCACCGTGCCTCAGTTTCCCGCCGTGTCCCTCAGGGGGTGCCCGGGGCTCTGTCCCCACACCCCGCTCGCCCCCTCACCCCTCTCCTTGGGGAAACTGAGGCACGGCCGGCCATGTCCTCACTCCCTGCCCCTTTTCGGGGGCTCCCACAGACGAGGCCACGGCGCCGCTCCCTGAGGGGACCCCGCCGGTGTCGGGGGCTCCCCGAGTGACCGCGCCGGTGTCGGGGGCCACCCCCGAGCCCCCCAGGGACATCATCCCCCTGTACTGCGCCCTCCTGGCCGGCCTCGTCGTGGGGCTCGTGGCCTACGTGGCCTTCAAGTGGTGAGTGAGGGCCCGGGGGGTCTGGGGAGCCCCGGGGGCCCCGCTGAGCCCCGGGGTCCCGCAGCTGGGACACCTGCAGGAAGAAGCGGCAGCTGGACAAGGCGCGGGACGCGGCGGACGCGGGGGTGGCGGCCGAGGCCGAGAAGCTGCGGGGGGACAGCGGCGCCTGCCCGGAGAGCGCCGGCCTGGAGCCGCCTCAGCCCCGTGAGCGCCCCGGGCCCCGGGGGGGACCCGGCCCTGGGGGATTGGGGACACCCGGCCCTGGGGGGACACCCGGCCCTGGGGGGACCCGGCCCTGGGGGACTGGGGGCACCCAGATCTGGGGGATTGGGGGGACACCCGGCCCTGGGGGGACACCCGGCCCTGGGGGATTGGGGGGACACCTGGCCCTGGGGGGACACCCGGCCCTGGAGGAGTGTGGGGACACCCAGATCTGGGGTACTGGGGGGACCCGGCCCTGGGGGATTGGGGACACCCGGCCCTGGGGGGACACCCGGCCCTGGGGGGTTTGGGGACACCCAGATCTGGGGGAGTGTGGGGACACCCGGCCCTGGAGGAGTGTGGGGACACCCAGATCTGGGGTACTGGGGGGACCCGGCCCTGGGGGATTGGGGGGACACTCAGCCCTGAGGGGTTTGGGGACACCCAGGTCTGCGGGAATGGGGGGACAGCTGGCCCTGGGGGGGGTTTGGGGACACCCAGATCTGTGGGAGTGTGGGGACACCCAGCCCTAAGGGGGTTTGGGGGGACACCCGCGGGTTTGGGGACACCCAGATCTGGGGGATGTGGAGACACCCGGCCCTGGGTGGGGTTTAGGGGCACCCAGATCTGGGGATTGGGGGGATACCTGGCCCTGAGGGGGTTTGGGGGAACACCCGAGGGTTTGGGGACACCCAGATCTGGGGGAACAGCCGGCCCTGAGGGGGTCTGGGGACACCCAGCCCTGGGAGATATCCATGGATGTAGGGACACCCAGATCTGGGTGGGGTCTGGGGACACCTGCCTTTGGGGGGCTTTGGGGACACCCAGCCCTGGGGGGGATTTGGGAACACCCAGATCTGGGGGGGGATGTGGGGGAGATCCGCGGGTTTGGGGACACCCGGCGCTGAGGGGATCTGGGGACACCCCAGACCCGGAGAGGTTTGGGGACACCCAGATCTTGGAGGGGGCTTGAGGGATCCGCGAGTTTGGGGACATCCAGCCCTGGGGGCATTTGGGGACACCCAGCCCTGGGGAGGGTCAGGGTTTGGGGGCACCTGAGAATTTGGGATGGGATGGGATGGGATGGGATGGGATGGGATGGGATGATCGAGCACTTGGATGGGGTCGGGGAGCCCCCAAATGGGATTGGGGAGCACCTGGAAGGGGTCGGGGAGCACGGGGTGGAGTTGGGGAGCATCCAAATGTTGGGAAGCCCCCAAATGGGATTAAGGAGGACTTGGGTGGGGTCGGGAAGCCCCCAGTGGGAGCGGGGAGCCCCTGGATGGGTCGGGGGTCCCCTCCACCTCCCGGGGGTGTCGGGAGCCGCCCCCGCCCCTCGCTCCGTCTGTCGCGGGTGGAAGTGCCGGTGCTGAGCCCGTCCCTCCCGCAGCGCCCCCCGAGGGTCCCTCGCTGCTCCCGGGGTCCCCGCGGCGCCCGGAGGAGCCGGGAGAGCTGGAGCGGCTCCTGGAGCTGGGAGCGCCCGGCAGCAGCGAGCGGCGCGGCCCCGGCGCCGCGGGGACACCGGGGGACGTCACCTCGGCCGTGTGACACCCCCGGGGCCGCGCCCGATCCCGGCGGCGCTGCCGCTTCCCGATGGATTCCTGGGGAGTTTTTTTTACGTGGGTTTTGTACTTTTTTAGGGATTCTGGAGGGTGGGACGGGGACCTTTGGTGGCTGGTGCCTGGGTGGGGGCATTAAACGTGTCACTGGGTGGCACCAGGGTTTGTGTCCTCAGGTGTCTGTGTGTCCGTGCGTGTTCCGAGTGTCACCAGGTGCCTGCTTGTCCCCAAGTGTCCGTGTGTCCTGAGATGTGTCCCTTCAGGTGTCCAAGTATTCCCAGGTGTCCCTTCCAGTGTTTATCCCCAGAATGTGTTCCCTTGAGTGTCCCCAGTGTCCATGGGATGTGGCCCTACGGGTCCGAGTGTTCCCAGGTGTCCCTTTGTCCCTGGAATGTGCCCCCTGGGGTCTCCCAAGTGTCCCCAGCTGTCCATGAGTCCCCTCGGGTGTCTGTGTGTCCCAGGTGTCCCCAGGTGTCCCTCTGTCCCCAGGATGTGTCCCTGCATCCCTGGGATGTGACCTGTCTGCGTGTCCCCAGGTGTCCCCAATCTCCCCAGGGCCATGTCCCAGGGATGGGACCCCGCAGGTGTCCGTGTGTCCCTGGGATTCGTGTCCTTGGGCACCCACGTGTCCCCACATGTGTCACCAGGATGTGTCCGTGTGTCCCACATCCACCCCAGGCGTGGGTGGCCTGAGGAGGAGGAGGAGGGGACACCCTAAAGACCCCAAGGCAGGTGGCACTGGGGACAGAAAAAGCCATTTTTAACCCCAAAATACTCCCAGGTCAGCCCAAACTTCCCTTCCCAAGGGGTCTAGATTCCCAGGAATGCTGAGGGTGACAGGAGGTCCCCAAGGGAGAGGGGACATCCCAAGCCAGGTCCCCAAGGGAGAGGGGACATCCCAAGCCAGGTCCCCCTTGTGGCCCTGCCCGGCGTCGATTTTTGGATTTTTTTTTCTTTTGATTTTTTATTTTTTTCTCTTTTTTTGCTCTTTTTTTTTTTACATAAAAAGTTCCGTAAAAATTGGATAAAGTAAAATGCTCGAAGCAGTAAAATCAATCTTATCAACATGGCCAGAAATCCGCAGTATTTACAGGGAAACGGAGGAAACCTCGCAGAACCAAAAGGAAAAACCAAGGAAACAACCAAAAAAAAAACCAAAAAAAAAATTTCGGGAATAACCCCCGAAGTCTGCTGCCAAACGCTCCCGTGGGATCGGCACGTTTGGGGCTGAAAGCAACGGGAAAAAAGCAAATTATTATCAATATATTCACATATACGTTAAAATATAATACAGAGCTTGGGAGCAGCGCCGCCAGAGCCGGGCTTGGGAAAGCCTGGATCAGCAAAAGCAGGCTTGGGAAAGCCCGGCTCCTCCTCAGCGACGGGAACCAAGTTTGTTTTCCTTAAAAAACCAAAAATCCATCATCAGAATAATTATAATAATAATAATAATAATAATAAATTCACAGGTTGGTGGCTCGGGAGGGCAAATCCCAGCGGGAATCGCGGCTCCCGAGGGCCGGGGGTTATTCCAGGGGCTATTCCAGCTCCGTGTCCTCTTTGGGCTTGTAGAGGATCCCGAATTTCTGCATGTACTTCTTGATGTATTCCTTGGTTTTGTGTTTGACGTTCTCGTTGCACTCCAGGTCCTCGGGGTTCTTGCAGTACTTGAGCTCCTTGTTCATCACTCCGTGCGTCAGCTGCAGGAAGGCCGGGAATGCTGGGGTCAGTCCTGGAATTCCCACCAAGCCAGGCCCGGCCACTCCCCACCCAGGCTGCTCCTCTTCCCAAACACTTCCTCTTATTCCCAAATATTCCCTGAGCCACTGTCATATTAAACTCCCAATATTTGGGGTTGTTCCCTCAATATCTGCTGTTACTGTCCAAACATTCCCAAGCTATTTTCCTATTATTCCCCAAATATTCCCCCTCTAATTTCCAGATATTGCCCAAGCTACTGTTATATTGTTCCCCAAATATTTCCCAAATATTCCTCAAATATTCCCAAATATTCTCTAAATATTTGGGATTGTTCCCTCAATATCTGCTGTTATTTTCCAAACATTCCCAAGCTATTTTCTTATTATTCCCCAAATAGTCCCTCTTTTATTTCCAGATATTGCCCAAGCTATTGTTATATTGTTTCCCAAATATTCCTCAAATATTCCCAAATATTCTCTAAATATTTGGGATTGTTCCCTCAATATCTGCTGTTATTTTCCAAACATTCCCAAGCTATTTTCTTATTATTCCCCAAATATTCACTGTTATTTCCAGATATTACCCAAGCTATATTATTCCCCAAATGTTCCCCAAATATCTCCCAAATATTCCCCAAATATTCACTGTTATTTCCAGATATTGCCCAAGCTATATTATTCCCCAAATATCTCCCAAATATTCCCCAAATATTCTCTAAATATTTGGGATTGTTCCCTCAATATCTGCTGTTACTGTCCAAACATTCCCAAGCTATTTTCCTATTATTTCACAAATATTCCCCCTCTTATTTCCAGATACTGCCCAAGCTATTGTTATATTGTTCCCCAAATATTTCCCAAATATTTCTCAAATATTCCCAAAATATTTCTCAAATATTCCCCAAATATTTCTCAAATATTCTCCAAATGTTCCCCAAATATTTCCCAAATGTTCCCCTAACATTCCCAAATATTCCTCAAATATTCCCAAACATTCCCTAAATATTTGGGATTGTTGCCTCAATATCTGCTAAATTTCCCAAACATTTCCCAAGCTATTTTCCTATTATTTCTCAAATATTCCCTGAGCTGCTGTCATACTATCACAGCAAATCTTTCCTGTTATTCCCCAAATATTCCTCAAATATTCCCCAAATATTCCCTAAATATTTACTATTGTTCTCCCAATATCTGCTGTTCTTTTCCAAACATCCTCAAGCTATTTTCCTGTTACTCCCAAATATTTCCTGTTCTTCCCCAAATATTTCCTATTACTCCCTAAATTATTTTTCTATGACATCCCAAATATTCCCCAAATAATTCCTAATATTCAATTTACTATTATTTCCCAAATATTCCCTAAATATTCATTATTGTTGTGCCAATATTTGCAATCATTCCCCAAATATTTCCTATTATTCCCAAATATTCCCTAAATTATTCTATTATTGCCCAGATACTCCCTAAATATTTTCTATTATTCCCCAAACAGTCCCTAAATATTTCCTATTATTCCTCCATATTATTTATCCATTATTCCCCAATTATTCACTATTATTGCCCAAACCTCTCCTGTTATTCCCCAAATATTCCCTAAATATTTCCTGTTGTTCTCCCAATATCCCCCCACCATTTCTCCTTCCCTTCCCTCATCCTCCAAGGAGCTGGAGGCAGTTGGAATGACACAATCCCATTTCCTGGGGCCATCCCTTGGTCCCCATGTCCCCGTACCCCACTGTCCCTGTACCTCCCATGTCCTCATATCCCACATTCCTGTGTCCCTACAGCCACCATATCCCTGTGTCCCTAAATCTCTGTGTCCTGTACTTCCCATGTCCTTGTGTCCCTATGCTCCTGCACCACGTTCCCATGTCCCACATCCCCACATCCCTGTGTCCCCATGTCCCTTTATCCCTGTGTTCCCATGTCCCACATCCCCATGTCCCTGTGTTCCCATATCCCTGTGTCCTCATGTCCCTGTGCCCTCCATGTTCCCATGTCCCACATCCCTGTATTCCCAAATTCCCATACCCTTCATGTCCCCAGCTCCTTGAACCCCATGTCCCTACATCCCTCTATCCTCTGTGTCCCCATGTACCCACATCTTTGTGTCCCTGTCCCTCATGTCCCTGTAACACCCATGTCCCCACTTCCCACATTCCAATGAACCTCCAAGTCCCACATTCCATGTCCCTGTACCCCATGTCCCTGTGTCCTCATTTCAGCATCCCTGTGTCCCCATGTCCCTTTATCCCTGTGTTCCCATGTCCCACATCCCCATGTCCCTGTGTCCCCACATCCCTCTATCCTCAGTGTCCCCATGTACCCACATCTTCGTGTCCCTCATGTCCCTGTAACACCTGTCCCCATCTCCCACATTGCAATGAACCTGCACTCTCCATGTCCCCAAGTCCCACATTCCATGTCCCTGTACCCCATGTCCCTGTGTCCTCATTTCAGCATCCCTGTGTCCCCATGTCCCTATGCTCCCACGTCCCAGATCCCCATGCTCCCCGTACCCACTGTCCCTGTCCCCACACTCCTGTGTCCCCATGTTCCTGTATCCATGCTCCCATGTCCCAGATCCCAATGTCCCTGTCCCCACATTCCTGTGTCCCCACATTCCTGTGTCCCCATGTTCCTGTGTCCATGTTCCCATGTCCCACATCCCCATGTCCCTGTGTCCTCATTTCAGCATCCCCATGTCCCCATACCCACTGTCCCTGCCCTCACATTCCTGTCCCCATGTTCCTGTCTCCATGTTCCCATGTCCCGCATCCCCATGTCCCTGTACCCTCCATGTCTCCACATCCTTTGTGCCCGTGCCCTGTGTGTGACCACATCCATGTCTCTGTATCCATGTCCCCATGTTCCTGTGTCCATGTTCCCATGTCCCACATCCCCATGTCCCTGTACCCTCCATGTCTCCACATCCTTTGTGCCCGTGCCCTGTGTGTGACCACATCCCTGTGTTTCTGTATCCATGTCCCCATGTTCCTGTACCTGCCATGTCCCCCCATCCCCGTGTCCCCCGCATTCCCACATTCCCACCTTGCGTGCCAGGTGTTTGAAGTCCTCGGTGGTGGTGATCCGGCCCACCTTGCAGTCGGGTTTCCGGTAGGGATTCAGGCACTGCACGATGAACTGGGACATCTGCGGGACACAGCGCTGGGTCCAGCTCCCTGCTGCCACCATCCCACCCCATCCCACCCCATCCCATCCCATCCCATCCCATCCCATCCCATTCCCGGGCTGGGATCCCTCACCTCTTTCCTGAACACCTCCTTGCTCTTCTTGGCCAGCTCGCTGGACGTGTCGGCCTCCGCCGTCTTGGGCTTCTTGGAAGACTGGAGAGGGGAGCACAGGGATGGCAATGCTTCCCTGGTCCTGCCTTGGGGACAGCGCTCCTGTCCCACAGCCGGGTGGGCAGCACACCTTCCAGCC